TATATATATATATTAACTCACTATTGCCTAAGGTCATTCATGTGGGAAAAAATACATGCAGAAAGAATGAAAAAGTAATTTGCACCGAATCAAATTTCCACATGAACTTCATTGCATATAACATCATTACAATAAGTAATAGTTGTCATTGCAACACATTACATAGATAAAGAAAATGTAGCCACAAAATCCTTTCACCAATAAACTGTTGACATGCAATTTGCTCTCAACTCCATAATCTTTCTAGAACCATCACCCATCTTGTGTACAAGACTCATGTAATCAGATTCAGTTTTTGGTGTTGAATGACCTAGGGGATATCAGAATGAATCGACAGGGACATGTGATTGGTCCTCATGCATTATTGAGCTCAATGTCATTACATGCGGGATGTCGACGAAAATAGTTGTGGAGAGTCATCATAGTGACCACAGTTTTCACTTATTTCTTAAACGGATAGGTGGACATATCATGAAAAATATATCATTTTTTTTCCAAACACAAAATGTCCTTTCAAGAACACCATGAAAAGATGAGTTCCACTTATTATAAAATCTCCTTTCTACCCGAGCTAAATTGTTCGCTTTTTTAAATCAAAAAAATGATATTTTGTATCAGAAAATGGCTTGACATATCCTATTTCTAATGGATATCCAGCATCAGTCCAATAATATTTCCCTGTTATAAGTTTGTTCATTCAAATGTATTGCAACAAATATGTTACTTATTCATATGTTAGCAAATATGGAGGCGGCTTCGAAAAGTTGTATTTGAGTTCACGTGGCATATTCAAATATACCACTATCATGGGTGCTTCCTTCTCATCTAACGATCACAAAAGTTAAGAACACATTGAAATCACATACATTCATAATGTTTTGTGTTTGTGACCCACACGTCCAATATATGCAATCTTTTCACTGTTGAACACACGAGCATCCATGTGTGTTTCATCAATTTCCTCAATACAATCCTCGATCAATTACGTAAGGTATTAAGGTCAACCACGCTCAAGTAAATTTTGAATAGATAAACACAAAAATCTACCTTGAAATATGACATTTAGTGTTGATCATGTCAAAGCTCTACAGAGGTGTTTTGTAATGTAGCGTTTTCAGGTCTTATATTTTTTTTAAGGTAAGTTAGTGAGAGCTTCCAAACCATCCAAAAAATATCTGCTAATTTTTTCTGATAAGTGTTGGAATCGCTTCATGGCTCCTCACATAGACTCATTTTGTAAGAAAAAATAGAGGGTTATAGCTAACACCTCTTTTGAAGTCATCCAAGATGAGCCATGGAGTCTATAATATCTGTGTAGTTCTTGTAATAAATCAACAAATATTGGTTGTCATATAAAACATATTGATAAATCTCGTAGGCTAACCCAGAAGGAACTCTTCAACCCACTTGTTGCCTATGTATGTGGATGTCATGCAATGAGAGCAAGCAATATATGAGTTGTAAAACTCAAAAATTAAGCATATTACAGTTGCAATTTTTCTTTTCCAACTTTCTCTATCCAAATTATTCATTTTTTAAGCATCTAACTCATATGTTGGTTTTCTTTTTATTTTTAAATGAAAATAATTTAATTTAAACTATATATTTTTACTCTAAAAATGTGAATTTTTTATTTTGATAAAAGAGACCGAACATATCTCATATATTCAATGGTTTAAATAATCGAGAACGCTATTCCGAGTAATGCTTCATCTCAAATAGATAAGAATATCACTCGATAATAGTTTCAATTATTATAAATACATAGGAATTGAATGGTATAAAAAAAGAATTGAAAGAAATAAGTAATATTAACTATAGCCAAAATCCAATTGATGCATGTGAATTCAGACTGGTATGTATGTAAATCTTCCCAAAAAGAATTGAAAGAAATACTAACTTGATCTCTATTTCAGCATGAAAACAGTGATTAACCGCTACAACAAAGCAAAACAGGATCATCTGCAAACGATGCATGCGAATTCAGAGCTTAAGGTATGCACATATATCTGTTGATTATCTATTCACATTTCATTCTATGTACTTACTTATCCGATACGGATGAGATTTTGTATAGCTTTGAAAAAGAAAATCTGACCCGGGGATGAAATATTGGCATAATTCTGTATAAGAATAAACTTGTGTAGCACCTTAGACAAGATATAAACCATCTATTTAAAGAATGCAAGTAGCAGTGATAAAAAGCAAGCAATTGTACCAATTCAATGTAGCTAATGTTAAACCAAATCATGAAATTTGAACCAAAATTTAGCTCAGAGCAAGAGCTGAACACTAGCACTACAATGCAATGCGGTAATGTGGTAAAACATCAAGCTTTATTGCAAACTTGCACTTCAAAGGGATGTGACGCACAAAACATGTACAACACTTTGCTTTGTTTTTCCTTGATCCTAAAGCGCACTTCTAACAAGAAAAGATTTGTTGATACACTTCTATTGTCCAAGATTTATCAATGGGCACGATCCAAAGGTTAAAAAAGATGGTAGCAATCGTTGCCCTTAGCATTGTTATGAAACTTCGCTACGATTGCTAGTTGACTTCTTAAAAGCCATGGGTTCCTCTATGCAAAGACAGTCTCATAAATTGAGGGCGGAAAACATGCTCGGCTCATCATCAGAAACAATGCATTATTTCCTAACATCTTTCAAGCAGACTGACAACGTCTTCACAGTTCTTGGAAATGATTGGGCCATTCAACATGCCTTCAAGTGTCATAGATGGAGTAGTCTCTGTAGGAATTGTTTATTGACTCCACTAGAGATCGTCATTCATGAAAAAGGATTTGTTTATGCTGAGAATAAAAGGATCACTGTTTAAGGGAGAATAAGGTTTATCATGTTTGGGGACAGCTTACTTGGCATTAATGCAAGTGCTCCATTTCATTGTGCACATCCCAACAATATAAATTTATAATTTTTACTACCTATAAGTTGTTAACTTAATGGAACATCACACAAGATGATATCATTTATGCTAATTCCAAATTGTTTTGATCATGGTGAAAGAAAAATCAAGCCATCCAGGACCATAAGAATAATTGGGTGAGCACAATTTTATCACGACCAACTGTAAACTTTCGGGTTTGAAAAGGCCCTGTATCAAATAACTCGCAAAAGTCAAAGGGTAATACTTCGGGATTTTAGGCTATTTTCCTGACAATCAGAAAGATAAGCAACCATAAAAATTTTGCTTTAGACCTGCAGGAATTCATCAAGAGATGACAAAAACAAACCACTAGACAGCTTTCTGGGTACTTTTTTTTCTTTCTTCCAAGGACCACAATAAACCCAACGACAGCTGCCCACAGAGTTCTTGCAGC